GAAAATCTCTCTTCTTTCTCTTCTCTCTCAATGCAGTTTATGCAAATATCTCTTTTCTCTCCTCTCTCCTCTCTTCCTCTCTCTCTCTCTCTTCTCTCTATCTCAGTGCAGTTTATGCAAATCTCTCTCTTCTCTCCTCTCTCTCTCTCCTCTCTCTCTCTCTCTCTCTCTCTCTCTCTCTCAGACTAGGAGCCCGTAGCACAGTGTGGTTGCTAGAGAAACAATCTTGTTGTTTTCATTCCCCAACTAGGGAGCACCATCCGTGCTAGAGAAGGAATTTCCTGATAGTGAGAACAGCCTCCCTCCTGAGCGGTGGGTACTCCATCACGGGAGGTTTTTCAAGAAGAGATTGAACAAACATCTGCCTTGGGCAGAGGGTTGGACTAGAAGACCTCTGAGGTCCCTTCCAGCCTAGGATTCTGTGAAACAAGAGGTCATTCATTCATTCATTCATTCATTCATTCATTCATTCATTCTCCTTTTGAACTCACCTGGGCTTTTTTGCAGGTCTTGGCAGGAGAGTTCTGGGAACAACCTCTGGATTCCAAACAGGGCCAAGGGAGGGTTGCGGAGCACACTGCCCCCCAGTGGGGAAGAGCGGTAAAACCTGTGCTTCATCAGCCTTGACTAAACATGTTTTCACACAGTCTTAAGAACAAGCCATTTCTCCCCCTCGGAGGGTCAGGAGGAACAAGGACTCTTTGATCTGTCTGTCTATCTGTCTGTTTATCTTTTGTCTCTGTGTAAGAGGGAGGGGACCCTCCGGCCATAAACTGCTCTGTCCTGGGTTCTCATTAACAGGCCCTGGAAGAGGGGAAAGTCCAAGTGAAGTTGCTTACAAGGCTGGTCAAACCACTGACCCCACTCCCCAGTTCTTCCCCTCAGACTCCCAGACTGGCATGTTTAAAGATAAACCAACCAAATATTGTAAGTGTCACCAAACACCAGGAATATACTGCCATATGTGGTGGTCTTGCATAGAAGCTAAAAGATATTGGACTGGAATACAAACAGGGTTGGAAAAAAAAACACGACTAAACAACATATAGATTTGAAACCTGAAATATTTTTATTTGGAATGGTACCTGAAGGTTACAGTAAAGAAAAAAAAAGCATACTTAATCATACATGTCTTAACGGCAGCTAGAATTGTATTTGCTCAGAATTGGAAAAGTGACAAGATATCAACAGAGGGAAAAGTAATTGAAAAAATATTTGAATGTGCAGAAATGAATAGATTAACACTGGAAATTAAAGAAAAAGAAGAAGCTGAATATTATATGGTATGGGACTTGTTTTACTAATGTCTGGAAGATAAAACAAATAAAAATGGGTTAGATGTACATATAAAGCAATAAGAGAAGCCTGTTGGAATAGATATATATGGGAATGTGATTATTGATATAGATAAGAAGAGTATTAATTATTAATTATAAGCAATATGTACCTAATAAACACGATTGAAATGGAATGGATTCATTGTGTGTGTGTGTGTGTGTGTGTGTGTGTGTGTGTGTGTGTATATATAATTTTTTAACACACACACACACATATATATATATTCGTAGATTTTCACGGGTACAGGTATGTAGGTCTAGGTGTGTTCGGGTCTTTTCCCATGTAAGATTAAGAGTATCTTGGTGACGTTTTGGTGAGGTCCCACTCGCCATCCTCAGGCTGGTGCTTTCAGCTTCTGCTTGCACTGGCATGAAGCCGAAAATACCAGCCTGAGGATGGCGAGTGGGACCTCGCCAAAACGTCACCAAGATACTCTTAATCTTACACGGGAAAAGACCCGAACATACCTAGACCACATGCGCGCGCGCGCGCGCGCGCACACACACACACACATACACACACACACGGTATTCACCTTTGTTTGGGTATTTTCCCAGGTCATTATAGTTGTGCTTTTAAAGTTGTAGCAACGTTTTGGCAGAATCTCATCTGCCATCATCAGGCTTCTGTATTGTGTTCCTCTGTTAGTCAGACTTTCACAGCCGTCTGACTCACACTATAATGACGTGGGAAAATGCCCGAACAAAGCTGAAAACCATACATATATAATTTTATATGTATGTATGTATATATGTATGTATGTATGTATGTATGTATGTATATGTGTATGTGTATGAATATGTATGTGTATCTATCTATCTATCTATCTATCTATCTATCTATCTATGTAAATGACTCCCAGACTGGCAATTCTCTCTCCTTGATTGACGCTTTGCTTGGTTGCCCAGGAAGGAGCCCTGGTCAAGCAGGTGGCAGGCCGGGGATGGGGAGGGGGATACTAGGGGGCCAAACCAGGCTCCCCCCTCCCTGAAGGGAAGGTTTAGCGCCCACCTCCGGACTCCTCTGGCAGCTGCCCTGTCCTTCTATTCCCAATATACAGGTAGTTCTCGACTTAAGAACCATGGGTTTAGTGACCATTGACGTTACAACCCCACTGAAAAAAGGGACCGTTTTTTCCACACTTAACGACTGTTGCAGGCATCTCCATGGTCATATGATCACCATTCAGAAGCTTGGCAAGTGACTTGTATTTACGACGGTCGCAGTGTCCTGGGGGGAGGGGAGTCACCGTGTAATCCCCTTTGGCGACCTGACAAGCGAATTCAATGGGGAAGCAGGATTTACTTAACAACCAAGTCACTAACTATAAATGCAGGGATTCACTTAACAACGGTGGCAAGAAAGGCCGTGAAATGGTGGGAATTTCCCTTCACAATGATCTCGCTTGGCCACTGGAATTTGGGGCTGGGTTGTGGTCGTACGTTGAGACTCCCTATACCAGGGGTCCCCAAACTTGGCCACTTTAAGACTTGTGGACTTCAACTCCCAGAATTCTCCAGCCAGCTATGTGGTTGTAAGTCAGTCATCATAGCTGGCAGGAGAATTCTGGGAGTTGAAGTCCACAAGTCTTAAAAAGTGGCCAAGTTTGGAGACCTCTGTCATATACCGTGTGCCATACTCAACATCCAGTACAGTATTTCACTCATAGCTACCCTGGTGGTATCAATGTTTGTAACATTTTGGGCATGGCACTGCCTACAGAGCTACGTTGGCTGAGGAATTCTGGGAGTTGAAGTCCACAAGGCTTAAAGTGGCCAAGTTTGGAGACCTCTGCCCTATATGGGGAGGTGAGAACTGAGGGAAAATGTCTGGCTGAGAGGCTCTAATTTCTTTCCTGGGGGCTCATACAACCCTCCCCCCCCAATGTCTAGAAACCCAAAGAGGGGAGCAGAGCTACAGCCACCCTCTCTTATCAGTGTGTGTGTGTGTGTGTGTGTGTGTGCGTGCGTGCGTGTGCTGACCAGGCTGGTGGACTCTGTGGCTGAGCAGCATCTTCGGGGGCAGGGGGGGTGCGACACACAGTGAGGCCCCT